ATCTTATGCCAAAGTCTTGCAAAAATAAATCAATTATTGTTTATTTATATATTTACATGTCAATTAAATTTTAAATACAATTAAAAAATGTATTACGATAAATTTATCAATTAATTTGTCTAATTTATCCAATCATCAGTAAGTATCATCATTTTTGTATTTAGTTCATTAAGTTTTTTTTTTATCTTCATCCTACCATCGATAGGTATCGTTTTTTGTATTGAGTTCATAGAGTTTTTAATTTTTATTCAACCATCAGTAGGTATCATCATATTTGCATTTAGTTTATAAAACTTTTTATCTTCATTCAACCATCAGTAGGCATCATAATTTTTGTATTTAGTTTATTATACAACTTTCTATCTTAATCAAGACATCGATATCTCATTTTTCTTAGTTTCTTTCATCAAGTTTTTTTAAATCTTAATTAAACATTTAATGAGTTTTATAAATTTTGCACCCAGTTTAACATAATTTTGCATCGTAAAAAATCTATCAATATGAATCATCGATGTATTAATCTATATATCATTTAAGTATTTAGTCTATCATAACTTTTATTCTAATTACGTATTTTGAACAAGACAGTTTTTGTTTAACTAATGCTTTCAATGAGAATTCAATGTTTATTAAAACGTTAAGAAACATTTACAAAGTCAGCGATTTTTAACTCAAATTTCGAAACGAATTTGGGAAATTTACGAACTTTTTTTTTTAAAGAAATCTCTCGGGGCAAAACTAATGATCTTCTTCTATTCCTTTTTGTCGTACATTAACAGCGTTCAAAAAGAATTTTAAACGCATTGCTGTTCGAAGAAAAAAAAATTAAGTAATTAGGAACAATTTCTCGACAAATAATTCCAGAGAGAATTTATCTTTCCTCCGACGAGAAGGGGGGTGTATTTTTTCCCCGGACTTCTCAGACGGAGGTGGCGCTCTTCTTCAAGGATAGGCTCTCCGTCCCAAGGAAGCTGCGGCTCTTCTCCAATAAGAGCCTCCGTTCCGGATGAGATCTTCTTCTTTTCTCTCTGTTCTGAGAGAAAGAAATAAAAAGAAGGCATGCCATTCGAGGAAAGAATGGAGAAGGAGGTGCCCATCCAGAAACAGCCAGCCAATAGATGATCTTCCTTCTGGCCACATTAAAAGAATCAAGCAAAGCAGTCCAAAAAAAAACAAAATGGCGAAAAAAAAGAACAATGATGCTTTGGTTCAATAGAATCTATTCCTATTCACACAGCTTAGTTCCTTTTCCTACGGATATTCTCTTAATGAGTTGAGACCGATGAAAAAAAAATGTTATTGGTAGGTTCTTGCAGAAGCAGAACATCTGCAGGTTATGGTCACGGTCTGGAGGCTGAAACAGAAAAGGCATCCGGCCGCGAAACTTGGGCCTGTTCTTTGTTCCCACCCACACCAGATCTCATTTCCAGGCGGTTTTTAATCGTTACTTGCAGGGTTCCGCCGGAGATTCGAATGGTGTTCTGCAATTCTTTCAATTTTCGAAACAAAGGGAGCGTCACACTTCGTTGTGTTGATCTTATTTCTGATGTTTTAATAAGGCAGGTTTCGTAATTAACATTCGTTTTTTTTTTTTTTAAAGACATTAACATTTGTGACAATTTTTTCATGACATTAAAAATTGCAATTGATGATTGTAGATGCAGATCTTGTTCATTGTTTTTATAGCAAAACAGTTCTACGCTCCTACTGTTTGACAAAATGTGTTAATTTTGCACAATATATGCTCTACTTAAATTATTTTCGATTAGGAATGTGAAAATTTTACACACATTATGCCCTAAGTCCTGATTAGAAATGTATAAATTTTACACGATTTGTGTTCTGTTTCCCGATCAGAAATATATGAATTCTGCATATTTTATGACCTTTAAATTGCAATTGATGAAGGTAGATGCAGATCTTGTTCATTGTTTTTATAGTAAAACAGTTCTCCGCTACTACTGTTTGACAAAATGTGTCAATTTTGCACAATTTATGCTCTACTTAAATGATTCTCGATTAGGAATAGGAATGTGAGAATTTTACACATTTTGTGCCCTAAGTCCTGATTAGAAATGTATCCAATTTTACACGATTTATGCTCTGTTTCCCGATCAGAAATACTATATGAATTCTGCATATTTTATGCTCTTCATAAAGGTTTCTCGATTAGCAATGTAAGAATTTTACACTACTCTACCTCTCGATTAGAAATGCATGAAATATACACAATTTATGATCTTCGTAAATGAAGTTCGATTGTTATCCATGAATCGTCTGATGTTTGAATTTTACATTACTTCAGCTCTAAGTAATCGCTTCTTTAAAAGAAGTACATCAATTTTTATTTAATATATACTCTACTAAAATTTTTCGCGGTTTGAAATATTTTTATTTTACGCAATTTATGAATTATCATAAAATTATTTATTCTTGAAAAACAATCGAAATACATTTTTATTCCCAGATAAAACTTTGCAATGAAGATAGTAAAAAAAAAAGTCTAGGTGTTTCAATTACTTTTTAATAAAACTTAGCTGATTAAATTATCTAAAACGGGGGAAAAGTTTTTTTTTTTGGTAAAATTTGCTTTAGACGAAAAAAAAAAAAATCTAGTGGAATTGGTGAATAAGTAATTAATGATTTTTGTGGCACCACTTTCAATGTTCAAATATCAAATGCAAACTTTAAAAAAAAAAAAAAAAAAAAAAAGAAAAGAAAANAAAAAAAAAAAAAAAAAAAAAAAAAAAATTCAACGTTTCATCAATGAGTCGAAGTTTTATAATTCTTTTCTTACTTTTATAGTAAAAATCAGGAAAATTTTTAAATTATTAAAGTACGTATTTAATATTTTTTTTAATTTAAACAAAAATATTATACAACTCTTATTTTTTATTCTTAAGCGGCAACCTTTTCTTGTAAGTTAAATCATTTAAATCTTAAATTATCTATAGTTGTGTAAATTTCAGTTTAACGAAGTTTAAATGAAAAATGATTAACATTTGACTGATGATGGCTAGATAATATTATTTTAGTTTCAAGTTGCATTTGTTCTTATCCTATTTAGCATTTAATTCAACGTTTTATTGAAATTGTTTTTGACTTTTACTGTAAAAAATTTAGAAAATACAATTTCTAAAGTATGTATTAAAAAAAATTATTATTCAACTTATTTTTTTATTTTTATGCCGCAACCATTTCTTGGAAGTTTAATCATTTAAATCCTAAGTTATCTATAGTTGTGTTTTAAAAGTTTCACTTTAACACAATTTAAACGAACAATGCTAACATATGACTGATAGCCCGATAATATTACTTTAGTGTCAAATTGCATTTTTCCTATACTGATAAGTATTTTAAAAAGAAACAGATAATGGGGGTTTAAATCAACAATCAATGGAATGTCGAACTGAAAAGATCAAAATTACATCAAGTGATGAGATTCCTTTAATAGATATCAATCAATCCACAAATTTTTTAATTAAAAAAAAAGATATTCTGGTTAGCAAATGGAGAAAAAATTAAAAATATTTTTCCAGCAAAATACCTCATTTCTCAAAACCTTAATTATACGAATGTGCGATTGACAAAAATTTCTAAAAAAACTGTTTTGAAAGTTATGTTACAATAGTTTTAAAAACAAATTTAATCTTTCATAACATCACATATTTATAATTAATTTTAAATTTGTTAAAAAAAATTTATAGAGCTTACTTTAAATGTTTGTAAAAAAAAAAAAAAAAGTATTGAGAAATGAAATAATCAAAATTTTGTCACATTTTCTATACAATTAACAAATTTTTTTTTCTTCTTACTTTTGTTTAACAAACGAATAGGACACAAATTTAAGAAGTAAAGTAGTTTTATTATTATAATTTTGCTTTTGAAATAAATGTTTGGCTTGAAACATTAAGTCGTAATTGTAACAATAAATAAAAGGGCAAAATTGAGATGGCAGATTGTAACGTGGAATATGTAAAACTCAATACACGTAAAGTTTCCTTAACGCTTATAAATTAGGTCAAAAATGATTAAAAAATGTTACCATACGCGTTAAATTTTCATGAAGCATTCTTACAATAAAATTTCATAAAATATAATGTCACTATTGATTTCACGGACTTAAACACAAAAACTCGAAAATAATATCTTTGAAAAACAGAAATAAATAAATTTTTTATACGTTAGTTAGAGAATTTTCTTTGGTTATTCGTAAGAAAAAATTACAAATGTAAAAAGTAATTTGCAATTAAAATCCAATTGACAAACTTGGTTCGAAAATCAACTGATCTATTTTCATAAATTATAGAGGAAAAAATTTATAAATAAATAAATTATAATTAAAAAACATCGGCCGTCAGGGTATATATTTTGCATAAATTCTTCTGAACTCAGCCATTACTAATAAATAATATTTTATTACAATTTTTAAGATAATTTTCATTGCCAAAAATACAGTTTTATTTAAATTTAAAATTATTTTTGGACTCATATGGCTTCAATATAAACTAATTTAAGTTCATTTTGATTTGTCAGTTTTGATAAAATAAAAAAAAACTGCTCCTAATTATGGTTTGAGTTGTATATTTTCGAAAGGTATTAAAATTTGTACGTTTTTCAGTAACCAGTCTTTTCGTAAAGTTAAATTTTACCTTGAATGCTTATAAACAAATAAATAAAATATAATATCCAAACGACGATATGGTATACTTTAAGCGACGTATGAATAGAACAAAACAACGTGAATAAAGATGCAAGTTAACACAAATAAAGGTGCAGAAATAGGCCTACTATGTATCTCCATTTCAGTTACTTCATTCGTACTTTTCCACGTTGCAACGTTTTATGTTTACAAATAATGTGTTCAATAATATGAATCACTTGAAGCGTTTAAAAATATAGACACGGCAATTCAAAGCAGTGAAAAAGGTTAAAATCGTATAAAATGGTTTAGAAACCAAATTAATGAACCATTAAAATTGAATATGGAATGCACTTACCTGAAGTTTGAGAACCACTTGACGAGCTGTGCTGTGTTGTTCTTGTTGAATTTGATGTCGGGAAAGTACATCTTGAGGACGGCGGAGCTTGGGTATCGGGCAAAAAAGAACATCAACTTCGCCTTTCTTAGGTGCATTGGCGTCAAGGTACTCGTGTGCATCGATGCTGTTAAGGAGCATAAAAAGATAGACAAAATATTGTAACACCCGACAACCCGGGTTATTACACATAATACATGATAAATTTCACTGAGATCAAAGAAGCAAGCATACGAAAAAGCACACACATTCAGGGTCTCATACTAAAGCAACAGTCGCATGCTGGCTAAAAATTTTATAATAAAAATAAAGTGTTGTGGGTTGGGTTTCGATTCGAATACTTTCTAATCCATTTTAGCAAAAGATGTGATTATGACATATGAGATCGTTTTAATACTTAATAGCAAATCTTCCTCTCCTTTTTCTGAAGAAAATATTTTAATATAAATAAACCGATGAAGAAAATATTACAAAACAAATTTAAATATATGTCGTATAAAGAAACAAGGACTTAAAACAACTTTAATACGCTAAAATTTTAAATAATAATACAATTATTTTAAAGATACATTTTTTAAAAATTTACATTGAAAAGAATTTAAAAAAAACCTCGTTTTACGATTTATATTTTTAATTGCATTGAAGATAAAGTATTGAGATATAAGAATCTCACAAAGCTTATTTCGAAGTTTGGGATTAGAGGTTGTACGCAAAATTCTTATCTACTAAGCCTCTTACAAGATGTTCTAAAAATGACTATCTTAAGCTGGACAAAAAGTAGTTTCTAACGAGATTTCAATAAGAGAAGCAATATAAGAGAGAGCAGCACTTCGAAGACATAAAAGTTTATTTCCAATTCCTTAATGGCGCTTCTTAAATAACTAGGTTGGCAGTAATTGCATCCAGATGGATTTAATCTATTTTTTAAAACACGATCTCATCATACAAATATAATTATAATTGAATTTGAACAAAAATTTAAAAAGTTTAAAAACTGTCAACGAGTGGATCTTAGCTGCATTCCTTATGAAAACCAAAAGACTTTTATTCGATTAAGATTAAACCAAAATCGTTTGGATTATTAACTGTCTAAATAAATATTGTTAAGTTTATTAATTGTCTAAATAAATATCGTTTGGTTAGTTAATTGTCTGAGTAAAAATTGTTTGGATTTATAATTGTTTAAATAAAAATCATTGAATCTTTGAAAAAAAAAATTTGCAACTTGAAATGTATAATGATTAACAAATGAGAAAATAAACAAATTAGTTTATATTAAAATGAACGATTTATGTTCGATATATAGATGATATTTATGTCCTGAAAATATATTTAAGAAATGAAGCTTGAATTATGAAAAGTTTTCTAATTTGACAAGCTATTCGGGGAACAAAAGTAATTTATTCGAATTATGAAAGCTAAACGAATTACAAAATAATAATAATAATTCTAAATAATTATTTAAAAGAAACAGTTTAAAAGATTAAAAATAAAAAAAATTCTGTACTCAAAAATGCACAAATAACACAGTTTTTTGACTGGATATACTGTGTGGCCCGCTTAATTCACAAAATTAAATAATTTTCATTCTAAAAACTCAAACTATTTATTTCTATGCTTAAAAAAAAAAGAGAGAAAAAAAGAAAAGAAATGGAAATTAAGATGCTTAAACTAAACTATCTAAAAAGAAAAACAAAACGATTTCTTTTAAAAATTCAGTTAAATAATTAAATAGAAAATCATATGTCTTCTTAAATGTTAATAAGCCTACGTGACTTGACAAAAGTGGCAAAAAATTGTATCTTAAATGTAAAACACGAAACGTAAAATAAACGCATACATTGGTGATAAAAAAAGTCTTGAAGGTCAATAAACATAAATACCCTTTTTTTAAAAATAAAATAAAGTTTTTTTTTCATTAAATACGAAGTTAATTTTTAATTTTTTGCTAGCACAGAACTAAGCTAAGTTAACTAAACTAAATTAAATTATATGAATTAAAGCATATCATAATTAACAAAAACTATTACTTCAAATATTGTATTACAGTTTCCTGTCAGACTGATTAAAAACTTTGGCACGCCATTAATAATTATTTTTACAAAAATTTTGTTACGGTTGATTATTAAACGAATTAAAGCTATGACGCACCGTAACTAATAAAAACTACTTCTACACAAAAACTGCCTACATAAATATTTGATTCTAAAACTTAAGGGGATAGTCGACCTTAAAAACAAAAGGTTTTATATTCAATGTTAAAACCCTTTATGTTTTTTTGTGAGTGGGCTATTTTACGTTTTAAGTTTCATTAAAAAAAAAACAACGAAACACTTTTTTTTTTAACATTTGTAATTATAACTGCCCATAAAGAGCCCCTTTTTATAAAAAAAAATTCTTTTTTTTGGTTCACAAATACGATGCAGACTTATTTCAAAATATACAGTGCCAAAAAAAAAAAAAAAAATTGACAAGATCAATACAAGTTTAAAGATTCTTTTTGTCGGCAAAGTGCGAAAAACTTTCTAGTATTTGAAAACATTAAAAGAAGTAAAAAAAAGTAATAATAATTTCTCTTTTCTTTAAAATCATTCTGAGATGACAAATATTTATTTCCGCAAGAACGCGAAAATATTTCAAATTATCAGAGAAGAATCTAGAATATAAGATGAGAGGAAAAAATCTTATCTTATGTGACTGCTATATCAATTATAACATCTTTGAACATTTAATAGAAATCTGCCGCAGGGATTCAACTATTTCCAATTTGATTTTTTTTAGCTAAGTTCAAAGACTTATGCCAAAGTAAATACTTCAAAACTTTCTAAAAGCACATAGCTTAAGGCGCCTGATTCCGAGAGAGAGGGGACTTCAAAGCAGAGGTGTGATTTAAGAAAATGAAATGAATTGAAAAAGATTTCAAATAGAAAAAGGATCGTATAAAAATGAATCGTAAGAAAAGGAGAAAAAAAAATGAAACAATAAAGGCATTCAAAATAAAAATTCTAAAAGATCGTTTTTAAATTATTTCGTTTTGATCGTTTTTAAAAAATAAAATTCTGAAGTTTGTTCTAGGAAAAATAGAGTTTATAAAAAAATATAGAAAAAAAAAAAGTATTTTTAAAAGTGTGATAAAAAGAAGAAAAATTTTTTTTTCTGAATTTATATTTTAAAATAAAGTAGAATTAAATGGAAAAAATGCATTTTAGCAACAGATTGTTTTCTAAAAATTATTTAAACTAAGCTGTTTCTTAAAATAATTCAAATATGAACGTTTCGAACGAAATAATTACTTAAAAAATAAACCTTACAAATGTTCATTTTATTAAATTTAATATATTAAAACTAGATACCTGCAGTAGAATTTTGAATTGCATGAAAAAAATTAATTCATACCTTGTATGCATTAATTGTTTTATTATCTAAATATTTATAGATAAATTAGAATAGATAAACCTTATCTTTATAGATAATCTTATAGAGGATAAATAGATAAACTAATATAGAGATTCTTTATAGATAATCTTATAGAGGATAAATAGATAAACTAATATAGAGAATCTTTATAGATGAATCATATATAATTCTCCTTGCAGTTATGAAATTAGGATATTTATAAAAATTTGAGCTATTTCGGTCAAATTCATCCAGTAAAATTTTGAGCTGCATGAAAAAATAATTTTCAGCTTACAAAGTTAAAATAATTATTTTTTACAAAATAGTTAGTAAAATAGTTAGCCTTTTTCAAGTGTTTCCAATAATTATTATAAGTAAGCTATTAGCATTCACATAAAACACAATCAAAATAGATCACGCATGCCTTAAACATTCAAGCAGGAACATTGAAAATTAAATAAAAGACAAACTTTAAATATATGAGCAAAAAGCAAAGAAAACATTCCATTCAAGATAATAGTAAAAACCGTATTCGTATAATGTATTTTTTTAAAAATTTATTTTTGGAATTAAAAGTTTATTTAATTTAAATTCATGTTCATGTCTTTACGTACATGTGAATAAATTTTTTTTTTTTTAATATTGAGGGTAAACAAATTAGGGTTAAGTATGACAAAAAACTAGATAGTGAATTTTTTAACTGTTGTGCGATTTAACAAATTATTAGAACTAAATTATGAATATTTCTGTTCGATTTCTTATATTTATTTCAAACCAAAGGTATTTTTAAAAGGGATATTAATAATTTAAATATAAACATAAGAAATTTAACCAAAATATACCATAACATTCTATACAAAATGTTAATTTCTTGTATTTAGGCGAACATAATAACAAAATTATATTTTCTCTAAGAATTTTTTCTTGTATGTCGAAGAAAAGGTGCTTTTCATTAAAATTTCTAGAATTCAAATATTGACATGAAGCAAATATGCGGAATTCAATTGAAAAATTTATAGAATTTATAACATAAGAATTACTCCTAATATTTAAAAAATTCATGTTTTTATATTTAATTCTTTTTTACTAAATTTGTAGTTACGCAAATTGCTGATTAGATAACTAATTCAATGAATTATGTAATTAATTAGGTTTTTGATTATACTTTTAACGAATTAAACTTAAAATTAGTATAAAACAAAAATATATAATTGCACCGAATTTAATTTAAAAATAAATATAGCATTTGTAACATCAAAATTAATTGTTAAAAATCCCATGTTTTTTGTACATTTAATTACTTTTTACTAAATTTGCATTTATTGCTTACGCAAATTATTAATTATATAATTACTTCCATCAAATATGTAATTAATTAGATTTTTAAAGAATTAAAATGATTAAACAAACATGCTCGAAACACGAAAAAAACTATAGCACATAAATGGGGATTAAAAAGCAAAGAAGCAGGGAGGAAAAAAACACATATTAATTATTTATATTCTTACGTAGAAAGGATATCATAGGCATGCCGGATTCATAGGTGGCAGGACTATCTCCGGCATCTGATATATCTCCACTATCCTGCTTCATGTGAGAAAGGTGGAGAGAGTCCGGGGATCCTCGCTGATGGAAAGATAGAAGAGGATGAATGGAGGGACCGGAGTGATGCAGTCCCATGGGGGGTGGGCCCCCATCGTCATCGGGCCCCTCAAGATTGGCAAAATGTTGAGAGAGTCGGTGATGGCTGTATGGAAAATGTTGGAAGAGTTCGGATTGATTAAGACTGGGATTCGGGATGGCCACGGTGGTCGGTAAGCTGACCGGTACCAGGGGTGGCGGTGGGGGATGATGAGAATAGATGTGCGATGGAGGAAGGGAATCGGAAGATGGTAAATTGTCCATCATTCCGGAGTATTTGGGACTGACGTCTTGAGAAGTATCCGCAGATCTCATTCCACAGAGTTGACCGCTAGGTCCACCTCGTTGATTAAGTCGGGTGTCTGTCACTTTATGTCGCTTTTTCTTAGAGGCCACCACTAGTGACATGGCCTCTGTTTGTTCGGGAAGGTCCTGAGGGGTGGGCGTAGAACTGGCCGGAGAAGAATACGATTGAGAAAGTGAGGGCATTTGAGGAGGAGAGCCGTAAAGGAAAGCTGCCGTTGCCGCAACACTCGCTGGTGGTTTTAGAGGAAAGTAGAAGGGTGGTTTAGGGGCTGTTCCGATGTCCGGTGGATAAGGACTTGTCCGAAGACCGCACAAACCCCCATGGCCGTTCACTCTCGTCCCACGATCGATGACTTTACCAGTCCGTGGAGATTTTCTATCCAACATTTGAGACAACAGTGTCGGATCTTTTGATGATTCTTGATTTGTAGGCGTCATCTTGGACTGAGCTGCTCTTTGTTGGACACACTTTGAAACAACTGCATCGACCACTTGGGAAAGAGAGGTGGACAACTCAGCCTTAAGAGATTCTTTTAACCACTCATAGTCTACGTTAAGGCATGGAGATGGCTGCACTATACAGGATTGCCTTAATTCCTGCAAACTGAGTTTAGTGGGTGTATTATTCGTTGAAACACTTAGTTCTTTGGTATCGTCGATCACTAATCGTCTTTGTTCGTCGTACATGCTCGCGTTATCGTAATCCACAAAAGAAGAAGGTCCGTTCACCTCTTTATGATCAATTCGAGGTTTAACGTCTTCACAGTCCGAAGTATCGGCACTTTTTGGCCGGTCGTTCACAGTAGGTGGAGCGTTGTTATTATTGTTGGCTGACGGAACGTCCTCATCTGTACTGTCACCATCCACCATTTCCATATATTGCTGTTGCATAGCGACTAATTGCTGTTGCATGTGTCGCAATTGTTGGCGAAAAGTAAAAAGTCCAGCGGCTGAATTGCCCGTATTCCTTCGTTTAGGCAATGGGCTACCATCATTTCCGAAATCATCTTCATCGTCGTATATTTCACCGTTTGTTGATGATGGGTTTCTATTCGCAGTATCATGTTGTTGTGGTTGATAAAGTTTTCGCTTTTTGCATCCATTGACGGGAGGTTGTGGGTCAGGCATACCAGAACCGTTACCGTTGTTGCGGGGTGTCGGACCCTGAAGCATGTTACTCACTATGGTCTCGACCCGAGCTCGCTTCACTTCGAGGGAGGTGGAGTTACCGGGTGGAAGGAGAGGATTTTCAGATTGCTGCCAGGTGGCGCCACTGTCGGTCGTAGAGTGAATGCCGGGGCTACTCCTAGGCGAAGAGCCGGCCGGACTCGGAGCAGACGAGGCGTCGATCGCCGGAGAAACTCTACCTGCAGCCGACGACATCCTACAACTCGCTTTACTCTCATTTGAATCTTCGTCGTCGAGTTTCTCGGACGGCCTGCTTCCGGCAAAAGAAACCACCTCCCCTCCTCCTCCGCATCCCGGGCTCTCTCGACCGTGACCGGACTGTTTCCTCCCCTGCTGCAGTATGTCCCGCAGGAGGTGGCTGTTGCTGCTCGCCGCGCTGCCACCACTGCTGCACCGCTCGGGACTCTCCGGCATCCTTCCTCCGTACATCAATTCCCCGCCGCCGTTCACAAACATCCTTCCCGGGTTCGATCCAAGAGTAACGGGACTCGACCCGTTCATTCCACCGTTGCTAGTAGCGTCCAAAACAATCATATCCTGGTCCTTATTCTGGGATGAAGGCACTCTCAGCCCAGTTCCTAATAATTCGCAGAGCATTTTGCTCGCGTATCCATTCGTAGCGGAGTGATGAGAATAAAGAGAAGCTAAACTCGCGGGAGAGCGTGAACTAAAGTTGGGGATGCTTGCGTAACTGTTCCTCGGTTCACCCGCATCTACTCGCTGCCTCACTCGTTTCGTCTTGGCAGAGGTCTTATTCATCAGAGCTTTACTGTCCTCCAGTAGACCCAAATCGGGGTCCTCCTCCGATGACATCATCGCGGAGCCCGCTGATTGGTTCACTCTCCTTTCCGTAACCACTCAAGGGGCTCACACTCGCTCACTTTCCCCCCTTTTTTGTGACCCCTTCTTTTGTTCCGTGTGGGGGATGTTGAATACTCTCTTTTTTGTTATTATTCTTTTCTTCCCTCAGAAGGTAGATAATCGTTCCTTTTGGCCAGGCCGGTCGGCTCCTGTGCTGCCAGGTTCATGTATCAGTCAGGGGGAAAATCTGCAAAGATACAAAGAAATTGTGAGGGAGGAAATGGGAAAAAATATATCATTTCGAACGTAAAATATTATTTAGTATTTATTTCCCGCATTTTTTTGGCGAAATATTCAATTTAAAGAATTGTAAGATTAAAAAAAAAAAAAATTCATTAAAGTTCTGTACTTTCAAGACTAATAAATAAAAACAAATCTTAAAATTTCTACAGACAATTAGTTTTTCAGAAATCATATTGACATTCAAATTTCATACGAAATACAAATTAATTTTATTAAACCGCTTTCTTCTGAAATATATTTTTAATGTTCTCTGTTTTATTCAAAAAGAATGCTGAGGAATTAATGCTGAGGAAATAAATGCGAAAATGTCCCGGATTTCTGCATAAAAAGATCATTTACGGTAAAAATCGTTTGCTCGCTTAATCTTTTAATCAGAGAATATAGTTAGTTGAAAAATTAAATTGTTTTCTCGCTTTGTCTTTTAATCAGAGAATATTGTTGGTTGAAAAATTAAATCGTTTGCTCGCTGAGTCTTTTAATTAGGTTATATAGTTAGCTGAAAAAATTAAATCGTTTGATCATTTACTCTTTCAATTAGGGGGTATAGTTCGAAAAATTAAAGCGTTTGTTTAAAATAGCATTCTTTTTCATTCTTTCAAACGTTTTGCTTTAATAAAATGAAAAAAAATTTAAGTTAAACACAATATTTTATAACTGGAATCTAAATGAGTAAAATTCAAAACTTAATTTTTACTTAAATGTAATGAAAGGCATACTGACTATTGTCAAGTTCTTAATTTCAAATAACTGTAAAGAATATATTTCAATCAAAATAGAACTTTTGAATTTCCTACCTTTCAAAAAAGTTTTATATGGGTTCTACCATGTAACTTGACTAATCTAATCTAATGTGTTATACTGATCATATTCTTTGCTAAGTTTCTTCAAACACAAGTGTAAGAAAAATAAAAATACGCTTTTTTCAAAAAAAAAGGTTTATTTAATGGTTTTAACAGATTATAACAGAAATCTAGGGTAAATAATAGCATCAATTTCCTAGTTATTCAATATATCATTTTTAAGTAAGTTCAAAAGCAACAATTTTGGAAGGAAAGTAAACTTAAAGAATATCGTTAGGAATTAAAATAACCCTTTGTAATTCTTCAATAATTTATGTAAATAAGTATCGTAAAAACTAATTTTATAATTATAAGGAACTGTTAAAATATCATAATCAAATTTTATTAATGTGTGCTTCTAAAGTAAAAAATTATATACTAAACAAATACTACTACAGCTATATAGCTACTATATACTACTATAGCTACTACAAATCATAATTACAATTACCGTACTAATTTCTTTAATCAAATGCTATTGGTATGAATATTCAAATCGATGCTTAAATAGTATTTCATATGGATTCTAAATTTTTGTATAAAACTAAGATAAATAATATGAAAATAGCATATTTTATTTGTTTTAGTTTTATATACACTGGTTATCATAAATTAAGGAAAATTCACAAAAATCGCGATAACTCAAGAAATTACACATGGAATTTTATGAAACTTACCCACAATATACAACACATAGTAAGGTATTAAACAACATAAAAAGAAATTATCAGACATTAATAGTAGTATAGAAATTAGCACATGTATAAAATAAACAAATTGGAAGTATCGGTTTGCAATAGAAAAAGTACCTTTAATATGGAATATGATTGCCTCTAGAAGCAATACAGCACAAACAGCGATGTGTGATGCTTTCAATTATGCGGTCTATCAGTTCAATAGGAAGTGAGAGCCATTGCTCTTGTAAAGCAGTTGCAAGCGTGGCAAGGGTCTGAGGGGGCGGATTGATGGCAGATACACGCCTCCCTAGAGCATCCCAAACGTGCTCGATAGGATTCAAGTCCGGGGATCGAGCTGGCCACTCCATGCGAGTAATTGTTTCCTGTTGAAGATAATCATCAACAATGCGAGCTCTGTGTGGTCTTGCATTATCGTCCTGTAACAGGAAGCAATCACCAATTGCCCCGGCATATGGGCGCACATAAGCATCAAGGATGTTGTCTCGATAAACCTGAGCATTCACGGTTCCCCTTGGAAAGACATGGAGGTATGTGCGCCCTCCTAAGGATATGCCTCCCCAAACACAGACACTGCCTCTTCCGTATGCATCTCTTTCACGGATGTTTGATGGATGATAACGGGTCCCAGGTTCTCTCCATATCAAATAACGTCTACTGTCACTTTCTAGACTAAACCTGGACTCATCCGTAAAGAGAACAGGCCTCCATTGATCTGACGTCCAGTGGACATGTTGTCGGGCCCACTGCAAACGGTCTCTCCTATGGCGTGATGTGAGCGGCACGCAAATGGCTGGTCGTCTCGCATACAGACCACCTTCGTGGAGCCTTCTGCGCACAGTTGACGTTGACACCAACCTTCCGGTGGCTGCAGCAAGAGAGGATCTAAGATGTGTCGGAGTAGCGGTTCTATTCCTGCGTGCACTTAATGTCAAATATCGGTCATCGGCACTGGTCGTAACAGTTGGCCGTCCTTGACTGAACCTCCTAGATGCCGAATCTGTGGTTTGAAATTGCCTCCAAAGTCTATGAACCACAGATGGACTCACATTTAGCCATCTGGCCACTTCTGATTGACTCTGCCCTGCCTCTAGTCTCCCGATGGCTCTCCATCGTAGTTCTTCAGGCAAATGATGCCTAGAGGTCATTATTACGAATTGGCTATCTCAGATTTTCAATGTCGCAATCACAGTAAAATTTGTGTGCTTTCTCTCAAACTTGGACTTTTATGCTCCAGGCAGATGACGTAAGCCGAGTGCAGCGCCACTAATTTGCATATTGCAATTTTACTCAGCTACTCTTAGTGGACAACATATGCAAATTTTGCACGGTTTGGCTTACTTTTGAAAGAGTTATCGCTATTTTTGTGATTTTTCCTTAATTTATGATAACCAGTGTAGTTCATTTCATTTTGTCCAGTTTCTTCCATTATCCTTGAAGAAACATATTTCTACTGGACAAAATCCCAACCCTGATTATAATTCAACCTAAATCAGCATTTTTAATAATGTTTTAAAGCTTGATATTTAATTTCTTCGGGACAAAATCCCAACCCTGATTATAATTCAACCTTAATCAGCATTTTTAACAATGTTTTAAAGCTTAATAAATCAATATAATTTTTACACAGAGTAAATACTAGAGTCAATATTTTTCATGAAAATATGAGCAAATATATCATCAATAGTTAAGTTTAAACAATTAATTTAACCTGCGACATTATTTTGACCTTGAATCACAATAAAAAAATATAATGTGGGAGGATTTAACATAAAGCGATGTTTTTAGCACGACTTTATGATGGTTTAACGAATATGTTTAACAATGTGTGCTAAGGTTTCCCTATATATGCATTGTCTATTATTTTTTAGCACTCTAAATGATCTCCAAACCAATTTAAAAAAAATACATAACATCTTAGGAAAATAATTTAGACGACTTGAGAACTATTTCACGAAATTCAAGTGAAGTTTAAATATGTTTGTTTACACTTGTAAACAATATAAAGAAATTTTATTTACCTTCATAACTGGTTAATGTTCTACGCAACAAAAATAGGAACGGCAAACCTCTCTATAACAACTGCGTTAAAGAAACTATTTCGGAGGAAACTTTCATAGAGAACTTCGTATGAGAATTGATAAAAAGTAAATAAAAAAGAAATAACAAAACCCTTTCTTTCGTTTATACGACCATGCATGTTACTGTTCTTTTTCCCCCCTTTCTTCTATTATTCTATCTCTTCGGCCAAAGCAGCTGCTTTTAAGTAAACAAAATGGGGAGGAATGGAAATTTTCGGGAAAAATGGTGTCTCATATGCTCTATTCTGTGGAATGAAATCTCTTTATTCTGCTCTTAAAATGGGTTGTTTTCATTTATTGTTTCTTGAGATAGATTAATGAGATACTTAGAAAATGGCCTTCGAAATATGCGTTATAGAAAAATGGAGGAAGAAAAGATTATAATTTTATATCAAAATTATTTTAAAACTGTTCCTTTTTCTTCGTATGTTTTAATATTGAAAAACAGCTAAAAAGGGTTTTATGAAAAATTATTGTTCATTTACTGAAAACGAATTTCATGCTCTTTTAAATTATCGTTTGGTGTAACAGAAATAAAAAGAAGTTGAGGTATAAGCGTTTAAAAAGAAATTTTTCCATTTTTTGGTAAAGAAGTAAGTTGAATTACTAAAAATTAAGCAACAAAATAACCTGTCTCAATGCTATGAGAGTTTTTACATCACTTTCATCAAAATGTCCTAAAATAAATTAAATAGAAATCATTATAAAATGACTAGTTTTGTTAAAAATTACTCTTTAATTAAAAAAAAAAAAAAAAAAAAAANTCCTCCAATAAAACCAAGAAGAAAAAAAAAAAAAAAAAAAAGCTTCATATAACTTCAAATTTGTGCGAAAATCAAATGTTCAAATGTCCTTGAGGAAAAAATGGGAAGGTGAAACTGTGAATTTTTCGAAAATTCTCCATTTTACCTTCCCCATTTAAAATACATCGGAAAAAAATCATAAAGAATAACAGAAATTATTATTTAAAAATAATCTTGGAAAGACAAAGTAGCGAGTTTTTGAATACTTACTTCTTTATCTTTTTGAGTTAAAATTTTTAGAGCAGAAATCTTCAATAAAAATTCCAGAAAGAAAAATATTAATTTTTTCTTCAAAAGAAAAAAAATTTATAAATTAAATTAGCATTATTTTTAAAAATCACTGCTTTACCTTTTCAATTTAAAATTTTCAGAACAGAATCTCTAACAGATTCTAGAGCGAAAATTAGTATTTTTTCTTCTTAAGAATATGCATAGGTAAACTAGTGAGTTTTTGAATATTCACGGCTTTACCATTCTTGTTTAAAATTCTCAGAACATAATTCTTGCAAAAAAATTCCAAAATAAT